TAGAAGTACAGATCTAACTAAGCAGCCACTATGTGTAGAAGTACAGATTTGACACATCAGACACTGTATATGGAAGTACAGTTCTTTCACAGCAGGCACTGAGTGTAGAAGTACATATCTAACACATCAGACACTATGTGTAGGAGTACAGATCGAACACATCAATTACTGTGCGTAGAAGTACAGATCTTACCCATCAGACACTGTGGATAGAAGTACAGATCTAAAACGTCAGACTCTGTGTAGAAGTAGAGATGAAACACATCAGACACTGTGTATAGAGTGAGTGAGTGAGTATGATTGTATTTCAGCAATATCATGACGGGGGACACCAAAAATGGACTTCACACATTGTGCCCATGTGGGGAATCGAACCCGGGTCTTAAGAGTGACGAGCGGAGGCTTTAACCATCAGGCTACCCCATCGCCCAACTGTGTATAGAAGTACATGTCTAACGCATCAGACACTGTGTGTCAAAATAGAGGTCAAACACATCAGACACTGTGTTTGGAAGTACAGTTCTAATACACCACGCACTGTGAATAAAAGTACAGATCTAACACATCAAACATTGAGTGTACAAGTACAGATCTCACATACAGGGCACTCTATGTAGAAATAGACATCAAACACACCAGACACTGTGTATAGAAGTACATATCTAAAACACCAAACATTGAAACTAGAAGTACAGTTCTAACACATCAGCCACAATGTTTAGAAGTACATATCAAACACATTGGACACTGTGCATAAAAGTACAGATCTAACACATCAAACATTGAGTGTACAAGTACAGATCTCACATACAGGGCACTCTATGTAGAAATAGACATCAAACACACCAGACACTGTGTATAGAAGTACATATCTAAAACACCAAACATTGAGTCTAGAAGTACAGTTCTAACACATCAGCCACAATGTTTAGAAGTACATATCAAACACATTGGACACTGTGCATAAAAGTACACATCAACACATCAGACATTGAGTGTACAAGTACAGATCTCACATACAGGGCATTCTATGTAGAAGTACATATCTAACAGATCAGACACTATGTGTAGAAGTACAGATCTAACACACCAGACATTGAGTGTAGAAGTACGTATCTAACACATCCAACATGGTGTGTAGAAGTACAGATCTAACACATCAGACACTGTTTGCAGAAGCGGAGATCTAACACATCAATTACTGATTGTAGAAGTTCAGGTCCACCAGACACTGTGTGTAGAAATCGAGATCAAACACATCAGACACTATGTATAGAAGTACAGATCTAACACATTAGACACTGTGTATAGAAGTACAGATCTAGCACACCAGACATTGAGTGTAGACGTACGTATCTAACACATCCAACATTGTGTGTAGAAGTACAGATCTAACACATCAGACACTGTTTGCAGAAGCGGAGATCTAACACATCAATTGCTGATTGTAGAAGTTCAGGTCCACCAGACACTGTGTCTAGAAATAGAGATCAAACACATCAGACACCGTGTGTAGAAATCGAGATCAAACACATCAGACACCGTGTGTAGAAATCGAGATCAAACACATCAGACACTATGTATAGAAGTACAGATCTAGCACACCAGACACTCTGTGTAGAGGTACAGATCTAACACATCAGACACTGTTTGCAGAAGCACAGATCTAACACATCAATTTCTGATTGTAGAAGCTCAGGTCCACCAAACACTGTGCGTAGAAATAGAGATCAAACACAGCAGACACTATGTATAGAAGTACAGATCTAACACATCGTTTACTGTGCGAGGAAGTACGGATGGAACACGCGATATACTGAGGTACAGATCTAGCATGCCTTTCTAAAGTACAGATTTAACACATCAGGCAATGGCGACATATTCACACACACACTCTACAACGTATTCCGACATCTTGTTTTTGTATCTAGTAACATCATTCACATATCTCCTCTGTATCATCATGCTACCGCCATTTCGGTGAAGTACATCGTCCTAAGGCAACCCCTTCATTATAAGGGTAGACATTCCAGAAGGTATGGGCTTCCATTGGTCTCCAGCTTGTAGAAAGACGCGACTAAATATAACGGGATTGGTTGTCAGGCTTCCGTATCTCAATCGATGCTCAAGATGTCAGAAATTGGATTGTTTGGCCAAGACACAATTATTTACAGACATCCGTCGTAAAGCTGGACTGTTGTTGAATGTCGCTACAACCACGATTGTAAACAGCTGCTTAGTTCCATGGTTTTGAAGTTTGTGTTAATTTGACGATTCACTTTCTAGCAGGCAAAGTAACAGATAGGCAGCTCTCAGTGATGTGGCAAGAAATACTTCTGGAATGAGATATTCAACAACCCACTTATCATGGTTTTGAAGTTTGTGTTGATTTGTTGGTTCATTTCAGGTAAAGTTTCCGCAAGTCAACTGTCAGTGATGTGGCTGCATATAGTTCTGCTGTTGCTCGGTGAGTACATCTAAACTGGTTTAGAACCATGTGTAACAGTAGCATGATATAAATGACAAGTTTGTATATATATTCGGGGTTGAGGGACAGCATTCCAAAATTAGACTTGCTATCACTGACCATGGACATATGTGTTTATCTTGACTATCTTGAGGGTGTATTTGACTGTTGCATTTGTGTCTGTTTCATAATTCTATCAAAGCTTCAAAAGCTCATGGCGATGAGCAATGTTCCTGGGGAATATATGGCGAGAACTGCGACAGGCCCTGCCCCTCCAACTGTTACCCCGACCCACTGAGAAACCTCACACACTGTCAGAAGTACACAGGGAAATGTTCTGAGGGATGTGTTCGTGGTTACCATGGCCACCAGTGTAATATAACCTGCAACGGAGGCTGCTTAAAGGAAACCTGCAATAACGAAAATGGACATTGTACTTTAGGTTGTAAAGAGACCTACATCGGGGATTTCTGCAATGTGACTTTAGGTATGTAGTTCCACGAACAATCACAAGGAAGCAAAGTTCTTGATTGCAAAACAACGTAGCTACTTCTTTCAAGAAGCCACATTTAGGAAGGTGCATACGATGTAATGTAATGGAGATACCACATGTTAAGCTTCCAAATCAGTTCAGAATACGAATAATTCTGTAATGTCTTCGTAGAACAATGTTGATGCTTATGACTTATTCTGGAGTTCCGAAGCCTCCTTGTAGACTAGTACAGAATATACGCTTGTTTGTGAAAGTTCAAGACCAGAACCTTCTGGACATTTGTACTTTATGGATGATCAACTTCGACACTATTTTGACACTGGCGGCGCTTCGGTATATATTCTAATACCGTTTATAAGCAATCATCCTCTGTCTGGTCATAGTGGCTGTGGTGGTCTACATGGTGTAAGTGTACCGCTGACACAACTACTCATTCATCATACTCTGCCTGGTCATAGTGCCTGTGGTGATCTGCATGGTGTAAGTGTACAGATGACACAACTACTCATTCATCATCTTGTGTCTGGTCATAGTGGCTGTGGTTTTCTACATGGCGTAAGTGTACAACTGACACAACTACTCATTCATCATACTCTTTCTGGCCATAGTGGCTGTGGTTGTCTACATGGTGTAAGTGTACAGCTGACTCAACTACTAATTAATTCATCATACACTGTCTGGTCATAGTCGCTGTGGTGGTCTGAATGGTGTCAGTGTACAGCTGACACAACTACTCATTCATCATATTCTGTCTGGTCATAATGACTGTGGTAGTCTACATGGTGTAAGTGTAGAGCTGACACAACTACTCATTCATCATCTTGTGCCTGGTCATAGTGACTGTGGTGATCTGCATGGTGTAAGTGTACAGGTGACACAACTACTCATTCATCATCTTGTGTCTGGTCACAGTGGCTGTGGTTTTCTACATGGTGTAAGTGTACAACTGACACAATTACTCATTCATCATACTCTGTCTGGCCATAGTGGCTGTGGTTGTCTACATGGTGTAAGTGTACAGCTGACTCAACTACTAATTAATTCATCATACACTGTCTGGTCATAGTCGCTGTGGTGGTCTGAATGGTGTAAGTGTACAGCTGACACAACTACTCATTCATCATATTCTGTCTGGTCATAATGACTGTGGTAGTCTACATGGTGTAAGTGTACAGCTGACACAACTACTCATTCATCATCCTGTGTCTGGTCATAGTGACTGTGGTGATCTGCATGGTGTAAGTGTACAGGTGACACAACTACTCATGCATCATTATCTGTCTTGTAATATTGGCTGTGGTGGTCTGCATGGTGTAAGTGTACAGCTGACACAACTACTCATTCATCATACTATGTCTGGTCATAGTGGCTGTGGTTGTCTTCATGGTGTAAGTGTACAGCTGACACAACTACTCATTCATCATACTCTGTCTGGTCATAGTGGCTGTGGTTGTCTACATGGTGTAAGTGTAAAGCTGACACAACTACTCATTCATCATCTTGTGTCTGGTCATAGTGGCTGTGGTGGTCTAAATGGTGTAAGTGTACAGCTGAAACAACTACTCATTCATCATACTCTGTCTGGTCATAGTGGCTGTGGTTCTCTCCATGGTGTAAGTGTAAAGCTGACACAACTACTCATTCATCATACTCTGTCTGGTCATAGTGGCTGTGGTGATTTGCATGGTGTAAGTGTACAGCTGACACAACTACTCATTCATCATACTCTGTCTGGTCATAGTGACTGTGGTTGTCTACATGGTGTAAGTGTACAGCTGACACAACTACTCATTCATCATCCTGTGTCTGGTCATAGTGACTGTGGTGATCTGCATGGTGTAAGTGTACAGGTGACACAACTACTCATTCATCATACTCTGTCTTGTAATAGTGGCTGTGGTTGTCTGCATGGTGTAAGTGTACCGCTGACACAACTACTCATTCATCATACTCTGTCTGGTCATAGTGGCAGTGGTGATCTACATGGTGTAAGTGTACAGCTGACACAACTACTCATTCATCATACTCTGTCTGGTCATAGTGGCTGTGGTTGTCTACATGGTGTAAGTGTACAGCTGACACAACTACTCATTCATCATACTCTGTCTGGTCATAGTGGCTGTGGTTCTCTACATGGTGAAAGTGTACCGCTGACACAACTACTCATTCATCATACTCTGTCTGGTCATAGTGGCTGTGGTTGTCTACATGGTGTAAGTGTACAGCTGACACAACTACTCATTCATCATACTCTGTCTGGTCATAGTGGCTGTGGTTGTCTACATGGTGTAAGTGTACAGCTGACACAACTACTCATTCATCATACTCTGTCTGGTCATAGTGGCTGTGGTGGTCTACATGGTGTACAGCTGAAACAACTACTCATTCATCATACTCTGTCTGGTCATACTGGCTGTGGTGGTCTGTATGGTGTAAGTGTACAGTTGACACAACTACTCATTCATCATCTTGTGTATAGTGGTGTGGTCATAGTGCCTGTGGTTCACAGCTGACACAACTACTCATGGTCATACTCTGTGGGGTCATAGTGGTGTGTTGTCTACATTGGCTGTAAAGTGTACGATTCTGGGCACACAACTACTCATTTCATCATACTCTGTCTGGTCATAGCTGTGATGTCTGCTGGTGTATTGTACAGCGGACACAACTACTCATTCATCATCTTCAGTCTGTCTGTGGTTCTCTACATGGTGAAAGTGTGCCACTGACACAACAACTCATTCATCATACTCTGTCTGGTCATAGTGGCTGTGGTTCTCTACATGATGAAAGTGTACCACTGACACAACTACTCATTCATCATACTCTGTCTAGTAATATTTACTGTGCTTGTCTACATGGTGTAAGTGTACAGCTGGCACAACAACTCATTCATCATACTCCAACTGGTCATAGTGACTGTGGTAATCTCCATGGCGTAAGTGTACAGGTGACACAACTACTCATTCATCATACTCTGTCTGGCCATAGTGGCTGTGGTTGTCTACATGGTGTAAGTGTACAGCTGACTCAACTACTAATTAATTCATCATACACTGTCTGGTCATAGTCGCTGTGGTGGTCTGAATGGTGTCAGTGTACAGCTGACACAACTACTCATTCATCATATTCTGTCTGGTCATAATGACTGTGGTAGTCTACATGGTGTAAGTGTAGAGCTGACACAACTACTCATTCATCATCCTGTGCCTGGTCATAGTGACTGTGGTGATCTGCATGGTGTAAGTGTACAGGTGACACAACTACTCATTCATCATCTTCTGTCTGGTCACAGTGGCTGTGGTTTTCTACATGGTGTAAGTGTACAACTGACACAATTACTCATTCATCATACTCTGTCTGGCCATAGTGGCTGTGGTTGTCTACATGGTGTTAGTGTACAGCTGACACAACTACTACTGATTCATCATACACTGTCTGGTCATAGTCGCTGTGGTGGTCTGAATGGTGTAAGTGTACAGCTGACACAACTACTCATTCATCATATTCTGTCTGGTCATAATGACTGTGGTAGTCTACATGGTGTAAGTGTACAGCTGACTCAACTACTAATTAATTCATCATACACTGTCTGGTCATAGTCGCTGTGGTGGTCTGAATGGTGTAAGTGTACAGCTGACACAACTACTCATTCATCATATTCTGTCTGGTCATAATGACTGTGGTAGTCTACATGGTGTAAGTGTAGAGCTGACACAACTACTCATTCATCATCCTGTGCCTGGTCATAGTGACTGTGGTGATCTGCATGGTGTAAGTGTACAGGTGACACAACTACTCATGCATCATTATCTGTCTTGTAATATTGGCTGTGGGGGTCTGCATGGTGTAAGTGTACCGTTGACACAAATACTCATTCATCATACTCTGTCTGATCATAGTGGCAGTAGTGATCTACATGGCTTAAGTGTACAGCTGACACAACTACTCATTCATCATACTCTGTCTGGTCATAGTGGCTGTGGTTGTCTGCATGGTGTAAGTGTACCGCTGACACAACTACTCATTCATCATACTCTATCTGGTCATAGTGGCTGTGGTTGTCTACATGGTGAAAGTGTAAAGCTGACACAACTACTCATTCATCATCTTGTGTCTGGTCATAGTGGCTGTGGTGGTCTACATGGTGTAAGTGTACAGCTGAAACAACTACTCATTCATCATCTTGTGTCTGGTCATAGTGGTTGTGGTTGTCTTCATGGTGTAAGTGTACCACTGAAACAACTACTCATTCATCATACTCTGTCTGGTCATAGTGGCTGTGGTTCTCTACATGGTGAAAGTGTACCACTGAAAGAACTACTCATTCATCATCTTGTGTCTGGTTATAGTTGCTGTGGTTGTCTACATGGTGTAAGTGTAAAACTAACACAACTACTCATTCGACATCTTGTGTCTGGTCATAGTGGCTGTGGTTGTCTACATGGTGTAAGTGTACAGCTGACACAACTACTCATTCATCATATTCTGTCTGGTCATAGTGGCTGTGGTTGTCTACATGGTGTAAGTGTACAGCTGACACAACTACTCATTCATCATACTGTCTGGTCATAGTGGCTGTGGTTGTCTTCATGGTGTAAGTGTACAGCTGACACAACTACTCATTGATCATACTCTGTCTGGTCATAGTGGCTGTGGTTGTCTACATGGTGTAAGTGTACAGCTGACACAACTACTCATTCATCATACTATGTCTGGTCACAGTGGCTGTGGTTGTCTGCATGGTGTAAGTGTACAGCTGACACAACTACTCATTCATCATACTGTCTGGTCATAGAGGCTGTGGTGCTCTGCATGGTGTAAGTGTAAAGCTGACACAACTACTCATTTTCATACTCTGTCTGGTCATAGTGACTGTGGTGATTTGCATGGCGTAAGTGTACAGCTGACACAACTACTCATTCATCATACTCTGTCTAGTCATAGTGACTGTGGTTCTCTACTTGGTGAAAGTGTACAGCTGACACAACTACTCATTCATCATCTCTGTCTGTCTGGTCATGTGTGGCTGTGGTTGTCTTCATGGTGTAAGTGTACAGCTGACACAACTACTCATTGATCATACTCTGTCTGGTCATAGTGGTTGTGGTTGTCTACATGGAGTAAGTGTACAGCTGACACAACTACTCATTCATCATACTATGTCTGGTCACAGTGGTTGTGGTTGTCTGCATGGTGTAAGTGTAAAACTGACACAACTACTCATTCATCATACTCTGCCTGGTCATAGTGGATGTGGTTGTCTTCATGGTGTAAGTGCATAGCTGACACAACTACTCATTCATCATACTCTGTGTGGTCATAGTGGCTGTGGTTGTCTACATGGTGTAAGTGTACAGCTGACACAACTACTCATTCATCATACTATGTCTGGTCACAGTGGTTGTGGTTGTCTGCATGGTGTAAGTGTACAGCTGACACGACTTCTTATTCATCATTCTGTCTGGTCATAGAGGCTGTGGTGTTCTGCATGGTGTAAGTGTAAAGATGACACAACTACTCATTCATCATACTCTGTCTGGTCATAGTGGCTGTGGTGATTTGCATGGCGTAAGTGTACAGCTGACACAACTACTCATTCATCATACTCTGTCTAGTCAAAGTGGCGGTGGTTCTCTACTTGGTGAAAGTGTACCACTGACACAACTACTCATTCATCATACTCTGTCTGTTCATAGTGACTGTGGTTGTCTACATGGTGTAAGTGTACAGGTGACACAACTACTCATGCATCATTATCTGTCTTGTAATATTGGCTGTGGGGGTCTGCATGGTGTAAGTGTACCGTTGACACAAATACTCATTCATCATACTCTGTCTGATCATAGTGGCAGTAGTGATCTACATGGCTTAAGTGTACAGCTGACACAACTACTCATTCATCATACTCTGTCTGGTCATAGTGGCTGTGGTTGTCTGCATGGTGTAAGTGTACCGCTGACACAACTACTCATTCATCATACTCTATCTGGTCATAGTGGCTGTGGTTGTCTACATGGTGAAAGTGTAAAGCTGACACAACTACTCATTCATCATCTTGTGTCTGGTCATAGTGGCTGTGGTGGTCTACATGGTGTAAGTGTACAGCTGAAACAACTACTCATTCATCATCTTGTGTCTGGTCATAGTGGTTGTGGTTGTCTTCATGGTGTAAGTGTACCACTGAAACAACTACTCATTGATCATATCTCTGTCTGGTCATAGTGGCTGTGGTTCTCTACATGGTGAAAGTGTACCACTGAAACAACTACTCATTCATCATCTTGTGTCTGGTCATAGTGGCTGTGGTTGTCTACATGGTGTAAGTGTAAAGCTGACACAACTACTCATTCATCATCTTGTGTCTGGTCATAGTGGCTGTGGTTGTCTACATGGTGTAAGTGTAAAGCTGAAACAACTACTCATTCATCATATTCTTTCTGGTCATAGTGGCTGTGGTTCTTTACATGGTGAAAGTGTACCACGGACACAACTACTCATTCATCATCCTCTGTCTGGTCATAGTGGCTGTGGTTGTCTTCATGGTGTAAGTGTACAGCTGACACAACTACTCATTCATCATACTCTGTCTGGTCATAGTGGCTGTGGTTGTCTACATGGTGTAAGTGTACAGCTGACACAACTACTCATTCATCATACTATGTCTGGTCACAGTGGCTGTGGTTGTCTGCATGGTGTAAGTGTACAGCTGACACGACTACTCATTCATCATACTGTCTGGTCATAGAGGCTGTGGTGCTCTGCATGGTGTAAGTGTAAAGCTGACACAACTACTCATTTTTCATACTCTGTCTGGTCATAGTGACTGTGGTGATTTGCATGGCGTAAGTGTACAGCTGACACAATTACTCATTCATCATACTCTGTCTAGTCATAGTGACTGTGGTTCTCTACTTGGTGAAAGTGTACATCTGACACAACTACTCATTGATCATACTCTGTCTGGTAATAGTTGATGTGGTTGTCTACATGGTGTAAGTGTACCACTGACACAACTACTCATTCATCAGCCTGTCTCGTCATAGTGGCTGTGGTAGTCTACATTGTGTAAGTGTACAGGTGACACAACTACTCTTTCATCATCCTCTGTCTGGTCATAGTGGCTGTGGTTGTCTTCATGGTGTAAGTGTACAGCTGACACAACTACTCATTCATCATACTCTGTCTGGTCATAGTGGATGTGGTTGTCTTCATGGTGTAAGTGTACAGCTGACACAACTACTCATTCATCATACTCTGTCTGGTCATAGTGGCTGTGGTTGTCTACATGGTGTAAGTGTACAGCTGACACAACTACTCATTCATCATACTATGTCTGGTCACAGTGGTTGTGGTTGTCTGCATGGTGTAAGTGTACAGCTGACACAACTACTCATTCATCATACTCTGTCTGGTCATAGAGGCTGTGGTGTCTGCATGGTGTAAGTGTAAAGCTGACACAACTACTCATTCATCATACTCTGTCTGGTCATAGTGGCTGTGGTGATTTGCATGGTGTAAGTGTACAGCTGACACAACTACTCATTCATCATACTCTGTCTGGTCATAGTGAAGTGTGGTGACACAACTACTCATTCATCATACTCTGTCTACATGGTGTAAGTGTAAAGCTGACACAACTACTCATTCATCATCTTGTGTCTGGTCATAGTGGCTGTGGTTGTCTACATGGTGTAAGTGTACAGCTGACACAACTACTCATTCATCATACTCTGTCTGGTCATAGTGGCTGTGGTTCTCTGTACATGGTGTAAGTGTACCATGGTGTAAGTGTACCACTGACACAACTACTCATTCATCATCCTGTCTGGTCATAGTGGCTGTGGTAGTCTACATGGTGTAAGTGTACAGGTGACACAACTACTCATTCATCATCCTCTGTCTGGTCATAGTGGCTGTGGTTGTCTTCATGGTGTAAGTGTACAGCTGACACAACTACTCATTCATCATACTCTGTCTGGTCATAGTGGTGGTTGTCTGGTGGTGTACAGCTGACACAACTACTCATTCATCATGTCTGGTCATAGTGGTTGTGGTTGTCTACATGGAGTAAGTGTACAGCTGACACAACTACTCATTCATCATACTATGTCTGGTCACAGTGGTTGTGGTTGTCTGCATGGTGTAAGTGTAAAACTGACACAACTACTCATTCATCATACTCTGCCTGGTCATAGTGGATGTGGTTGTCTTCATGGTGTAAGTGCATAGCTGACACAACTACTCATTCATCATACTCTGTGTGGTCATAGTGGCTGTGGTTGTCTACATGGTGTAAGTGTACAGCTGACACAACTACTCATTCATCATACTATGTCTGGTCACAGTGGTTGTGGTTGTCTGCATGGTGTAAGTGTACAGCTGACACGACTTCTTATTCATCATTCTGTCTGGTCATAGAGGCTGTGGTGTTCTGCATGGTGTAAGTGTAAAGATGACACAACTACTCATTCATCATACTCTGTCTGGTCATAGTGGCTGTGGTGATTTGCATGGCGTAAGTGTACAGCTGACACAACTACTCATTCATCATACTCTGTCTAGTCAAAGTGGCGGTGGTTCTCTACTTGGTGAAAGTGTACCACTGACACAACTACTCATTCATCATACTCTGTCTGTTCATAGTGACTGTGGTTGTCTACATGGTGTAAGTGTAAAGCTGACACAACTACTCATTCATCATCTTGTGTCTGATCATAGTGGCTGTGGTGGTCTACAAAGTGTAAGTGTACAGCTGACACAACTACTCATTCATCATACTCTGTCTGGTCATAGTGGTT